TCCCATGGTGCCTTCCCATCGAATTTCTGTGGCTTCCTTCGTACTAGATCACCCCTATGGCTGACATTCATATCTGGGATGTGACTTCTAACAGGGCTGAAGATGTCTGCATTAGGGTTTAGCTGCGGGTTCTGGAAGGGGCTTTCCATTGTCTGAGGCTGATTAGGTCGATGGCTATTATATCATCCTTGTTTAAAAGACAGTAAATCACCCTTTAATGTATTTAATTCACTTTGAAATTTACTAATGTTTTCCATTTGTACTTCTTGCCATTGTTGTTGACTTTCCTGTAGTTCCTCTTCTTGTTTCTTTTATTTTTCCTCCAACAACTGCTGTAATCTCTCTTCTTGTTTCTTTTCTTTTTCCTCCAACCACCGTTGTAGTCTCTTTTCTTGTTTATTTTCTCATTCTTCTTGTTTGTTTTGCTGTTCTTGTCTTGCTGCCATCAAATCTGCTAAGTCGTAGTTTGATTTGCCACTTCTCGTTTCCATTTTTTTCTGTCCCACTCTCTGACACCAATTTGTTACGTCTCTGTGTTCGCTTGTTAATTTTCCGTAGAAATTCTTTCCGATAAACTTCAGCGATACAAGTCCTTTCTTAAATAAAACTAGTTTATTCTTTCACAACTCAACTTTGCAATACACTTAATTTCCACAGTCACTTTAACTTAAACACAAGCTATAATTCACAAAGATTCATGCACTTTACTTACGGTCACTACCGTGCTTGACTCAATTGTCCGTCCCTGTCTGTCTGCAATTCTATTCTGATTAATTAATTTTGCTTTATCTGGCGCACTTATATACAAGAACAGAGGGTGCGTAGAAAAGACCAGAGTTGCCACAACAGACATGATCCTTCTAGAATATCATGACGTGTTGCTAGCGTCACGTGACTTCCGCTGTCGTATATACAGACCAGTGTCTTCATTTATCAGAGAGTTCTTACTTATTCAGCACATTAGATTTGACAAGTCAAATTCGACAAATTCAGCATTTGGGAAGGGCTGTATAACTTGCCAATTTTCCATATATCTGCCACTTTTGAACTTCTAATGAAGTTTATACTGAGATAACTGCAATAGAACGAATGTCTCATCTAAGTGAATGACGTATTGGTCCTTGGTCGCATATTTTACACATCTGGGAAGCTGTGGATGGTATTTTAATGCATCAAGGATGTCTTTTTTTTTGTTGTTGTTGTTCTAACTTTGTGCAGAGCTACGCGAGGGCTATATGTGCTAGACATCCCTAATTTAAGACTAGAGCAGGGGTCTCCAAACTACGGCCAACAGTTTATTAAAGTAATAATACAATTTTTTAATATTGTAAAAACAAAAAATAAAACATAATTGAGAAAAAGCCAATCTGATCATGTATGCATCCCTACTTAATTTTTCCACGACCCCTCCGGCCCGCGAAGCCTAAAAAGATCTACCTCCTGGTCTTTGTCCAAAAAGGTTTGGAGACCCCTGGACTAGAAGAAAGGCAGCTAGTCAACATCACCTACCGCCAAATCTTGGGCTACTCTTTTACCAATGGATAGTAGGATTGACATCAAGGATACAGTCCAGAAAGTGTACACATAAAAGTGGAGTTTTTAGTCACATTGTTAGCAGGGTTTTAATATCCACAGTTCCTGCAAAGACTGTCCCCATCTTGTGGCTGAACATGAAATCTGTAGCCTTCCAGTTTCTCTAAGGTGTCTGTCTGCACTGAATAAGTCTGATATCCACTTTGTGTAGATGCAGAAATATGAACAAGCAATCCATACCTTAAAGTGTGGTGTAATCGAAGCACTGGTGGTTGCTTATATCCATCAGTATTGTCTATCTTGGATACTGATAGCAGTGGTGTTACATTATAGTTACATTGTGACTCACTTCTTTTTGTTCTGGGGGTGCATGATGCTACTAAGATACTATAGCCGGATTTTGTTATAAAGGGCAGTGTTACTATAGTTCCATAGAATGATGAGGTCATCATATGGTGTTTCAGCTTATGTTTGCTTTATAGTTTTCTTTTCTATGTTTAATTTGCCACCTACTGTTTCGCTTTCATAAGTAAAACCATTAGACAATTGTATTTTTAAGTATTGATTCAATGTATTTAAAAAGTTTAGTATAACTATAGTAGCTTAATTTTATTTGGTTTTAACAATAAAAAAGTTTTTGACAAAACGTTTCGTTTTTTAAAAGATTACTTTCTCACAATAAAGATTTTACAACCTGATCTTCATAAAAAGACATTTATTAAGGAATGATTTAAATGAAAACGCTTTACAACAAAATTATGAACAAACATATCATTACGATCATCAGTATAAATCGTACTTTACATGACCCCCAGTGGCACAGCAGTATGTCTGTAGACTTATAACACTAGAAACCGGGTTTCGCTACCCGTGGTGGACAGAGCACAGATAACCCATTGTGTAGCTTTGTGCTTAATTACAAACAAATATACATACTTTACAACAAAAACATTTTATGCTCAATAGTCAGTAAGATTAAACTGTACCTGACATACATCAGTCGATCAAAGTTCAGATAGGACCACTCATGTGTTGAACAACTGTTATTTAATGATATACCATTAGGGTAATGACCTATATACAAAAAACAGTGAAATCAGACTCGCTCGTTTATATGTAAATTACAGTCAATTCAGATTGCAATCACTTTCCTTTCAACACTTATGTATTTGGCACTTCTACTAGCGATAAGTAAGTGTTATTTTGTTTATTTTATGTTTTTGAATGAATATATTTCATAAACAGACTTAAACCGGAACTAAAAGAAACAAATAGTTGTACAGAACTACTTTCGATATTATAAATGACCTTGTCTACATTGATTATACAATTAAAAGATAGAAAGTGTGTAGCCAAGATATGCCCAATAAAATTCTTATAACTTAAATGTATATTTATGTAGGATGTAGTCCCACTATCCGTTAACTGTGACGAGTTAGAAACACGTTTGCAATGGGCATGCGAGTGGTTTTGCCTCCCACCAAATAGCGTGAAGTATATATACTACTACTGAGCAGTAGTAAAGAAATACGTAAACTACGCAAAAACAACGCATTTAAAGGTTATTTTAAACCTAATATTATTTTCACACAATATAAAAAAATGCCAGAAACACAGTGTGATGTTCCAAAGTGTTCTCAGAATGGCGTACACAAGTTTTGGAGAGAATCTTTAATGAAGAAAAACTGGTATGTCGCGATACGCTGAGATAAATGGCAGCCTACTGAAACTAGCCTTGTATGTCGCAGTCACTTCACAGAATCTAACTACAAAGCTCTTGAATATCATGGTAAGACAATTACCATTAAATACAGGAGTTTGTTCCATGGTAATATTATGGGTAAACGTTAATGCTGTTTCTGACATTGTAGCTCAACACAGGCTAGGTTTAGCATGCATGCACATGCCATTGTCAACATGTCAATGGCAAAACGTCACCATCCTAGTTTTATGTAGGACGAAAGATTGTAAATTATAAGGCTATCAATAGCATGCATAAAAATATTTTCCATGAAAAAGATAATAGAATGTGATAAATGAGTTAAGTGATAAACAACTTTGTTAGAGTTAGTAAATTTGCTAGTAAACACGTTCATAGAGGACTAGCAAGAACCTATAAAATCCTCATATACTCTATGGGTCCATTACAGACAAGAATTGGGAGTGAAATTTTTGTTTGTTTTCCTTTATGTTTTGTAATTTTCGAATACGTACTAACAATATAGTGAATGATAAAGGTTATGTAACAAAATAGCAATTGTGATTAGTATGTGATGATCAGATTTCTGTGCAAGCTCTTAGCATTGTTAAGACAGTTAAATGTATCTATTATAATTTTATTTTGTGAGTATTTATGTTTATTAAGGATCATGCGAGTTATTATTATTTTTTTGATAATAGAGCAGTGCCTCTATATTCATGATCCTTTTCAATCTGTGCAGAATTTTAAAT